GACATATTTTGAAGAGACACCAAGACACCTTTTGAAAAATTATAAAAGAAGACTTGGATTGAAAAAATTCATTCACATACATCCAAACTAATCCAGTGCCAACCACCACATACGTCGCCGTCGCAACCCTTTTTCTTTTTATTTTATGTTTTAGTTTGTATTGTAAGTGAGGAAAAGATTTAAATGAACTTCAAGACTTTGGTAGAGAGGATTTTAAGATTCAGAAGTCATATAAATGGTCTTCTTTCTCTACTCTTAATCACAAAGTTGTTAGCATAACATTCAAAGTACTTGTGGATGAGTTTGTCAAAGAACTTGTTTGTAGCTTGTTAGCATATAGCACCATCACTTTTGAAGCCGAAAGACATGATTGTTACACTAAGTTTCAATTGGGATTTTGAGTGTAATAAGCTCCTCATCTTCATGAGCCACCTTGATTTGATTATAGCCCAAAGATTTGTTCATGAAGAAAAAAATTGTGTGAAAAGACAATGTCGACCATTATTTTCGATATGAGTAAAGAAAATTCTCTTAGGATCTTCAAAGTCTATGCAGACACAAATATGTTCATTTTTTTTATATCACTCAACACTAACTACAAAAAAGATAATTTTCTCCTCAAATAAATGCAACATCTACTAACTTTTCAATGTCATGCTTACTTTTTATTTGATCTCCACTCTCATTCGTCGAAAATCATGCCTAATCAATATTACATTAGGCTGTATATATTATTTACATATTGCAACATGGAAAGAGAGTCGCAGCAAGTTTTCATAGCTCTAGGCAAAAGAGTCCTTAAACACTACCAAGTAATTTTAAAAGATCATTACTCTCTCTCATTTAAAAGCAAACTTATAAATAAGGTGAATATTCTACAATAAAGATTAATCATTCATTCTTCAAAGAAAATTTTATTTTAAAATTTTAATATATGAAATGTTTTATCACATAATGAGATTTCTTTAAGCCTTATTAAAGAGTTAAAAGTAACTACAAATTTCTTATTGAACTTGAATTCAAAAACAAAAATGGTAAGACAATGTGCCTAAAATAAAAAATTTACTTCTAAAAATGGAATACTCTTCAGCTCCTTATACATAATAAGAGATATTAATGTTAAAACACATGCGAAACTTTATTCAAAAAGAAAAGGTACTTCACATATGTGACATATTCTGTATCATAATGATCATATTACGAAGGGAAATTTGCCTCGGTACCATCCCAGGCTGATTCCAAAGACTAACAATAAAAATCCAGACCTAAAAAAAAAGGGGAAAAAAAAAAGCACGCACAATAACTTCAAATAATAAGCGATCCTATAGTTCCAATGCACTTAAACGCGACTACTATAGTTCCAATGCCCTGCCCTTCCTTAGTCCTTCACTTCTCTCCGCTCTTCGCCACTCCCAAGTCCCTCAATCTCCGCTCCACATCGTCTAATTTCTCCTGTTCCGACTCTTTGGTCTCAACCAACTTCTCCTGCAGCCCGTAAAACAAAATTTCAATCAGATACGTTCTTTCGTACATAAAATACATCAATAAAAACCAAGTTACAGCTTAGATTTCGTCACCTTCGTGCCATCAATAGTGTCATCATCTCTTCCCTCGTTCTCCTTCCGGTTGCCCGTCAAATAATCCATGGCTCGTTGTGCAGTTTCCACCGCTTTATCCACCAAGTTATCCTTGCTTTCCTTCGCCGTCTCCACAGTTGCATCCTTGGTCTCCACGGTCTTCTCCCCCGTTCTGTCTTTTGCTTCTGTAGCCCTTGCCAAAGCAGTGTCTTTGTACTCTCCAAGCTTTTGTGAGGTAGAATCCTTAGTTTCTCCCGCTTTCCCCAACAAGTTATCCTTGCTTTCCTTCGCCGTCTCCACAGTTGCATCCTTGGTCTCCACGGTCTTCTCCCCCGTTCTGTCTTTTGCTTCTGTAGCCCTTGCCAAAGCAGTGTCTTTGTACTCTCCAAGCTTTTGTGAGGTAGAATCCTTAGTTTCTCCCGCTTTCCCCAACAAGTTATCCTTGCTTTCCTTCGCCGTCTCCACAGTTGCATCCTTGGTCTCCACGGTCTTCTCCCCCGTTCTGTCTTTTGCTTCTGTAGCCCTTGCCAAAGCAGTGTCTTTGTACTCTCCAAGCTTTTGTGAGGTAGAATCCTTAGTTTCTCCCGCTTTCCCCAACAAGTTATCCTTGCTTTCCTTCGCCGTCTCCACAGTTGCATCCTTGGTCTCCACGGTCTTCTCCCCCGTTCTGTCTTTTGCTTCTGTAGCCCTTGCCAAAGCAGTGTCTTTGTACTCTCCAAGCTTTTGTGAGGTAGAATCCTTAGTTTCTCCCGCTTTCCCCAACAAGTTATCCTTGCTTTCCTTCGCCGTCTCCACAGTTGCATCCTTGGTCTCCACGGTCTTCTCCCCCGTTCTGTCTTTTGCTTCTGTAGCCCTTGCCAAAGCAGTGTCTTTGTACTCTCCAAGCTTTTGTGAGGTAGAATCCTTAGTTTCTCCCGCTTTCCCCAACAAGTTATCCTTGCTTTCCTTCGCCGTCTCCACAGTTGCATCCTTGGTCTCCACGGTCTTCTCCCCCGTTCTGTCTTTTGCTTCTGTAGCCCTTGCCAAAGCAGTGTCTTTGTACTCTCCAAGCTTTTGTGAGGTAGAATCCTTAGTTTCTCCCGCTTTCCCCAACAAGTTATCCTTGCTTTCCTTCGCCGTCTCCACAGTTGCATCCTTGGTCTCCACGGTCTTCTCCCCCGTTCTGTCTTTTGCTTCTGTAGCCCTTGCCAAAGCAGTGTCTTTGTACTCTCCAAGCTTTTGTGAGGTAGAATCCTTAGTTTCTCCCGCTTTCCCCAACAAGTTATCCTTGCTTTCCTTCGCCGTCTCCACAGTTGCATCCTTGGTCTCCACGGTCTTCTCCCCCGTTCTGTCTTTTGCTTCTGTAGCCCTTGCCAAAGCAGTGTCTTTGTACTCTCCAAGCTTTTGTGAGGTAGAATCCTTAGTTTCTCCCGCTTTCCCCAACAAGTTATCCTTGCTTTCCTTCGCCGTCTCCACAGTTGCATCCTTGGTCTCCACGGTCTTCTCCCCCGTTCTGTCTTTTGCTTCTGTAGCCCTTGCCAAAGCAGTGTCTTTGTACTCTCCAAGCTTTTGTGAGGTAGAATCCTTAGTTTCTCCCGCTTTCCCCAACAAGTTATCCTTGCTTTCCTTCGCCGTCTCCACAGTTGCATCCTTGGTCTCCACGGTCTTCTCCCCCGTTCTGTCTTTTGCTTCTGTAGCCCTTGCCAAAGCAGTGTCTTTGTACTCTCCAAGCTTTTGTGAGGTAGAATCCTTAGTTTCTCCCGCTTTCCCCAACAAGTTATCCTTGCTTTCCTTCGCCGTCTCCACAGTTGCATCCTTGGTCTCCACGGTCTTCTCCCCCGTTCTGTCTTTTGCTTCTGTAGCCCTTGCCAAAGCAGTGTCTTTGTACTCTCCAAGCTTTTGTGAGGTAGAATCCTTAGTTTCTCCCGCTTTCCCCAACAAGTTATCCTTGCTTTCCTTCGCCGTCTCCACAGTTGCATCCTTGGTCTCCACGGTCTTCTCCCCCGTTCTGTCTTTTGCTTCTGTAGCCCTTGCCAAAGCAGTGTCTTTGTACTCTCCAAGCTTTTGTGAGGTAGAATCCTTAGTTTCTCCCGCTTTCCCCAACAAGTTATCCTTGCTTTCCTTCGCCGTCTCCACAGTTGCATCCTTGGTCTCCACGGTCTTCTCCCCCGTTCTGTCTTTTGCTTCTGTAGCCCTTGCCAAAGCAGTGTCTTTGTACTCTCCAAGCTTTTGTGAGGTAGAATCCTTAGTTTCTCCCGCTTTCCCCAACAAGTTATCCTTGCTTTCCTTCGCCGTCTCCACAGTTGCATCCTTGGTCTCCACGGTCTTCTCCCCCGTTCTGTCTTTTGCTTCTGTAGCCCTTGCCAAAGCAGTGTCTTTGTACTCTCCAAGCTTTTGTGAGGTAGAATCCTTAGTTTCTCCCGCTTTCCCCAACAAGTTATCCTTGCTTTCCTTCGCCGTCTCCACAGTTGCATCCTTGGTCTCCACGGTCTTCTCCCCCGTTCTGTCTTTTGCTTCTGTAGCCCTTGCCAAAGCAGTGTCTTTGTACTCTCCAAGCTTTTGTGAGGTAGAATCCTTAGTTTCTCCCGCTTTCCCCAACAAGTTATCCTTGCTTTCCTTCGCCGTCTCCACAGTTGCATCCTTGGTCTCCACGGTCTTCTCCCCCGTTCTGTCTTTTGCTTCTGTAGCCCTTGCCAAAGCAGTGTCTTTGTACTCTCCAAGCTTTTGTGAGGTAGAATCCTTAGTTTCTCCCGCTTTCCCCAACAAGTTATCCTTGCTTTCCTTCGCCGTCTCCACAGTTGCATCCTTGGTCTCCATTTTTATGCTTTCTATAATTTTCTATGCATTTACTTATTTTTCTTAATTCCTATTGCATGTTATCACAATTAGTGCATATTTGGCCATATTTTACATGTGATGCAGTCTAATCGTTTGCAATAATTTATGGAAAGCATAGCCCTAGTTGTGATTAACCCTAACTATTCAATTACAAATTGCACAACTAAGTGTCATCCAACGATCTAGCCTTAGGGTAGCATAATTTTCTAAACATATTGATCAGAGTTGTCCATTGTAAATAAGAAGATAGAATGATCTCGATTTCATCATTAATCTCCAGCCAAAGATGAGGGTTATTCATGATATTGCTTTGACTCAAGCAACCAAGTGAAGATGATTTGTATGCTTTACACTAAAAAGATCTGAAGGTCATATCGAACATTTACTACAATTATATTAGGCTATGGTGGAGCTTCATAAAAAAACATAAAGTCCTTAGGCCCTTTTTACAAATTTAAGAGGTTACTATTTTTTGGTTCTTTTTAAATGAATTCTGAGTCGTCAGCTTGTCTATTTATATGTCGTCGCTGTATGATTTCTTATTTCCAAGTAAATCTCTCTGCAGGATCATCAAAGATGTTCCAGAGAAGAAAGAAATTGGAAAGATGAGAATTTATGATAAAAAATAAACAAATAAATAAAAAGAAATATGAAGAGCTTATGTAAGGTAATCATCGTGCGATAGTTCGAGAGTATACGTCCAAGCAGAATTGGATCAAAATACCTCAAAACACAATATCCATAAAAAAAATCCCTACATAAGCCAACTGAAATTTGAGAACCAAAAAGATCATTTTTGTGCATCCCTTTGGTTAATTATATTTTGGGGGATGCCCAAGAAGACTCTAGATAAAAGAGGCATTGCTTACATTATCATGATAAATAGTGAATATGTCACCAAAAGGATGGTTATCTCAATTGGGAATATCTCGATGCCTCAAAACCTATACCGAGCCATAGAGCATAGGGTGAATTGCCGTGTCCACTATGGGCAGCCTTTATCTAGATAAACAAAGCCTATTAAATAATCAAATCCTCTCAAATTGGATTATCCTAATACCTCAAAGCCTACAATAGGCCTAGAGGGTGAAGCACCGTATCCTAAACGAGCAGCAGTTTATTAGCAAAAGGAGTCTATGAGAGCAAAAGGATCGACAGGGCTCAAATGGGATTATAAAGAAAAAGAAAAAAAACCCTAAATAGGTAGAGATAGCCGAGTCAAGATACCATGGATCCATAGTCCCAAGCTACATAGACCTTAACTCTACCAGGTCAAGAAGGTAGTTGACCCAGTTCGACCTGAGATTTTTTATTAGCAATCCATGAATTGTGTCGTCCAAGAACACCCCGATAGCCCTAATGTTAAAAGAAACAGGACTCTACCCTATGACCCTCCAAAGGTAGAGTACATAGATCTGAGACTTATTCACCAAATAAATAACGAAGATGCAACTGGAATAGAAAATAGAAGTGGGTTCCAACTACAAAGCAAAAATTACCCCGCAATGGACTTATACCCCATCTAGTACATGCTAGACAACCACCTATGTATAAAAACTTATGCTTGGATAGTCATGTTGAAGAAACAAGAGTGTTCTTCCTCGGGACATGCGATATTATATAGTTTTCTAAAGTCATAATGTTGAGGCCCTTTTAGGGATGACTTGGGATATACCCATGTCATGTAAACCATTTTAAAACTGGTTCGAAAGCAACATAGATAAGTAAAAATTGGTTTTAAATAACAGTAATATTTTAGTCATAAATATTGATTTTTCTAAATTTTTTGTTATTAGGATTTTGAAAATGATAAATTTTATGTTCTTAAAGACCCTAATTTGCACTTCACATTATTTCTAGATAAATCACAACCACAGAAAGCGTGAACAAGTCAACATGTAGCAAAAAGTAAACACACCAAATATCTAAATAATAAAGGTCAGGTGCCGCTGGGTCTACAATATATTCCAAAAAAGCAAAAAAAACAGTAAGATTCCACGTATACATGCATGATCCTAATGTTATACCTCAAATGAAAATTTAGACTTAAGTAACGGGACACAGGCAAGCTGCTCCTGGTCACCGTCATGTGGTTCGGTGCTTCAAGCACCTCGAAACCCAAAACCATATTTTATTTCCAATACAGAATCCCTAAGGACTCTCAAAATACATATAAAAATCTAAAATAAAGACTCAACCTACAAAATAGAGTTAGTGTGGGTTATCCTAAATGGGTTGGGCTAGTATAAAAAATTTGCCTTGGATATGAGCATGACGCTAGCTATGTTTGGCAAGGTTTAAATTTAGATTTAATCAAATTGGCATATATGGACCCAATTAGGGTTTAGGGTGAATTGAGGGCAAGGATTTGTAGTCATAAACTTGAATTCATAGGCTAGGGTATCTCCTAGAACTATGCCTAGATAAGTTCGGTTATATTTGAATTTGACTTGGGTTAACTTGACTCATAATGACCAAAATGGGTTTATATATATATATATATATTCGTTGTGCAGTTT